AAGAAAAACCCTAACACTGGTGAGGTGAGAGTGTGAGACGACTTTTCTGTGTGTGTATTTAAACCGACATGGAAAAAAACACGCCCAGTGATGATGACAAACTTTTGGGAAATCCAGCCACAGATGCTAAATAATTCCATCCTATCCAGGTGTGACTAAGTCATTAAGGAATCAAAATGCCCCACACTTGTACAGAACAAATAAACCAAAAGGCAGTGAGACAACACTGAGTCAAGTGTGAACATGTACATCTCAGTGACTTGCAGAATAATGTGGCACAGAGCCACGTGTCCATGACATCACATACAGTACAAACCACACAGTTTTCCTGCGTGTTTTAACAATACACAAAGCAATGCACTGGACACAAGCACACTGAGAGAGTCCTCACAGAGTCGTGAATCATACAAAGTCCCATAAAGACAGTTTCTGCTGAAGGGCTCTGCTGTTTTCTATTCTTTCCGAAGAATAACCACACAAGATAAACAAGGCCCAGTATATCAAATATACCCCGCCGCGGCTTCATACAGCTCTCACTGTATTATGTTCAAAGTAAAAATTAAGTCCTTCTACAAAAATACTTTTTTTTGCTGTGTAAACTTTTGCAACCAAAGGCACTGTCTTATCCTTCCGCTCTTCTTATAAAACATGCAGCCTGATCCTTGCTCATATCATGTCAGATTCATCCTGACTCGTACCATGATCTCGCCTTATGTGGAAACTCTGACGTTAAAAGAACATCCCCCCCACCAAATTACCACATGTATATCAATTACTCACTCTGTGCTGTGTCGAATTTGTGAAGGAAACTTCTTCTCACATGCATCCACAGTGAACAAAGAATCCAAAATCAGAAAGTTCCTGATGAACTGGAGTCAAAGGCGACAGTGTTTAACACCAAAAAAAACTATATCAGCTTGATTTACAAACTCTCACACAACTCCCAAAGTCACATTTATCCAGTTGTGTGCTCAGTACTTCCCAAACAGACAGTGCTGTCCACCGGCAACTGAATTAAAAGTGAAACCTATTGATGCTCTCTTCAATGCCAGACTCCATTGACAAAAACAGTAATTTAAACTCGCTGAACACCAGAGCTGCTGGACTACTGCTGCCTCAGTCAGTTAGTCAGTTTGTGTTTTTGTGTGACTTTGGTGCCTTAACGGGTTAGATCAGATTCACCAAAGTCACACAATAACACAAACAAACTCACTGATTGAGGCAGAGGTAGACCTGCAGCTCCTGTATTCAGGGAGGTAAAATGACTGTTTTTTCTCAATGGAGTCTTGCACTGAAGAGAGCATAGGTAAGTTTCACTCTTAGTTCAGTTCCCCGTCAGATAGGGCTGTCTGGTTGGGAAGAATTGAGCATACGAATAGATAAATGAAACTTGGACTATACTGTGCGAGTTGTGTGAGAGTTTGTAACAGGATGTTTTGACTAGGGCTGCCCCCTAAAAGTCGACTAAACGTTAGTCAGCCAGAAAGGTCAAGAATTCATTGGTTGTTTTGTCGCAGAGAAAAAAAACATGAAACTCTATTAGGAGCTGCACCTTCAAGAATAAATCCAAACCTATATGACTGGACCATGTGTGACTTTAATTTGAAAGGACAGACACAGGAAGTGTCCACGCTCAGCAGTCAGACAGGAGTCAGGTTAATTTCCAGGGCTGGTACCTGCGGTTATTCCACAGGCTAGTTAATAACATGTCGGGCAGGAAATCCAAAGTGTGGAATCATTTTGAGAAGGTGAAGGACAAACCCAAGGTGATATGTAAACTCATCTTCATTGGTCGACTACAAACATGACGTATCATCTGAAACATGGAAGTAGCTACATGCCCATTAGCCCACAGCGTCATTAACAGGCGGCTCGCTCAGTGTGTGACGTGCACTTGGAGATAAAATATAGGCCTATATTAATGAAGGTTCATTAGTACCTGCAACTCAAACCACCAAAATAAATCATTTAATAATAAAATGTATATCATAAACATGCAGGAGACTAGTCGAGTAACGGCCCTAAATGATGACTATTGGTCGACTAGGAAAATTCTTAGTCGGGGGCAGTTTTTGGATTCTTCGTTCACCGTGGAGGCTCGTGGTGAGCTCAATGAAAGGGTGTGACATTGATGTAGAAACGTCCATTTTGGAGGTGACGTATTTCTTTTATATTGACCATAGCCTCATCTTGCACCAACCCAGCTCTTGGAGTGATGTATTCTCATGTATTCTCTCATACTGAAAAACACTCCCTGTCGTCTTCATGAAATGTGCTCAGCTCCTTGCTACAAAATACTGCGCCCCGTGAAAATGCTGCCCTTGAAAAGTAAAAAAAAAAAACAAAAAAAAAACACATGTTCATCATTTTTAGAGGGGAACAACAATGCTGTTGCAGTCTCCAGGATTACCCAATGTAGGTCAGTGTTAATAACTGCAGTCTGTGCATGGAAACACAAAGGTGATCAAATGCTGATGATAACGGCGCCGTGGCGGCACAATAGAGCAATTAAAGAAAATGTTCCCTTTGAAAAACAGTTAGTTTAAATACACAGCGGCTCACCTGTGTACATCCAGCTGAGATTAAATCAAAAGAATGTCGAAACTCCAGTGTCTCAAAGACAAGCTGAGACAAATCGAGCTGTGCAGTCTGACGCTCACTGGAGCTGCTGTGCTTCTAAATGATGAGATGATAACATGCTTTTAAACTGGTCGAATAAAGCAAGCTGCTAACATGTTGTCTGAAATGTTTCTATTAATATAACCTCCACTGTGAAGCCTAATGAGCCAGGTCTGGAGAAGCAGTAGGGTTTGTAGTATGTGTTACATAACATACGAGTATCCTCTTAATCTGAGTATGAGGTAGAAAAGACTTCTACCTGTTTCTGGTGCCGATAGCTGTCATTACTGTGTATTTTTAAACACATAAAAATCCCTTTCATGCTTGACATAAACATTGCACTTACACAATGTGAAATAAATTAGATGACAACTAATACTCTAGTGCAGCTACACTTAAAGGAACACCTCACCCACAAAATGATCATTTGTATGTCACTTAGTCACCATGTGTTACGTTAAATTCAAGAAAAAAAATCAGCTTTTCTTGCGTGACTTTGTGGCGATTAAAGAATCCGGAAGTGCAGAACATTCAAAGCATCCAGTTACAAACTCTCACACAACTCGTGCTGTACAATCCAAGTCGTATGCCAAGTACTTCCCAAACAGGACAACGTTTTCCGACAGACAACTGACCGGAAAGTGAAACTTCTCTAAGCCAGACTCGATTCATAAAACAGTAACTTTACCTCGCTGAAAAGGGGAGTTGCTGGTCTACCACTGCCTCGATCAGTTAAGCCCAGTTCACACCAAAGATTCGCAACGAGACGAGTTGAAACATGCAACTTCTTGCAATGCGCCGTTCTGCAACGTTCTTAAAACCTGCCGGTTCACACCAATGCAACTAGATGATGGTGTATCATCTCTATGCAACAACTCTCTGTGCTTCTGTTCTGATTTGCAGCTTTTCAGGTTTATTTTGTGGCTGAATATAATTTGTAGCTTCTTAAAATATGAGTGAGGATAGTGACAGTAGCTATGTTTCCATCCAAAAGTGATTTGAATCATTGGGAAATGCGCATTAAAAAAAATACGAATCCTGTGTGTTTCCATTAAATGTACGGACTTTGGTGAAAACTACGAACTCGCGCGAGTTTTCCGTAGAACCGGAAACAAAACAACTCTCGCATTCTTCTTCTTCTACGTTTTCTGGCGGTTGGCAACCAGCTTGTAAATGCATTACCGCCTTCCTGACCCGGAGTGTGGATATCACCATGTAGAGAGCTACGTCAGACTTAATTCAAACATAACTGTTTACATCCCCCGTTTTGCGAATCAACATTTTTTCGAATCAACCAAAACCCAGCTAAAGCGAGCGTATTTTAGTTTGTGCGAATCAGGGGATTTTAATTCGAATTTTGGCGTTTCCATCATAATTTTCCGATGCGATACTTCTAGATGTGCATCTAAACAGGCTGAAGGAAACATGGCTAGTGAGATACTGGCTACAGCTGCATTTGTAGTGGTGATGAAACTGCAAAAAACCAGCATTAGATGGACTGTATTCAAAATAAATACGCCACAATAATATAAGTAAGCGGCACCAATTAATCAGTCAATGAGAAGGTGTGTTTGTAGGAGGGCATAAGCACATACAGCAAGCAGCAGCAGCCCACCATCCGACACCGGCACACCATTAGGACGGAAACAGAGGGCTCGACAGGGATGGACCACCTGCTGCAGCAAGTGAACACACCGTCTGCGGTCATTTTGACTTGACCAGCAGACTTCACTACAAGCTGATTGGCTGTAGAAACAGGTGACGTGCTTTATGTTCTAAAACCAGCCACTGGCGATTTGACCAACAGAGTTGCAGGTGACACCATCAGCCTGCTTGAGTCGAGTTCGCACCGCTGCGACTTCTCTCTCCAACGTTCTAAAGCGGTTTCGTCTGGTCACAAATCTTTGGTCTGAACTGAGCTTTAGTTTGCGTTACGACGCTCAAGTTCAATCAGGAAGACTTTCTTTGTGCTCATCCATTCACAATTCTCTCCATCCCACTCTCACTACTTCCTCTAATCAGCTGACTGTGGGCGTTCACTCTTCTAGTTATCCAATCAAACTGAACCGCGATCTCTATCAGCCAATCAGGAAAGCACTGCAAAATTTTCTGCTCTCTCCTCTGCTGCTGCCTGCCACCATATTAGGCAGAATCTTCGCGCCCTCCTCCACCTTGTTCACCTCCAGCCATCGTATCCAGAGTCCAGGACAAGCTAAACAAAGACTCATTCCTCTACTCATCCAGATCATCGGCACTTCTCCATCTCATCTTCACCACCTCTACCACCACCAGCGTCTAGACCCCGGGGGGGTTCCCTATTCGACTATGGATTCATCACCCTCCTTAAATCACACCATCTCTACGGGGTCTAATCACCAAAGACTTTCCTCATTTTTATTCTTATTTGCACGTTAATAAATATTCTTTCTGCAACAAAAAACAAGTCTCTCCGGATTGAAATCTAGTCGTATGCTCTGTAAAACACTTGCGCATAAACAGTCGAGTAGTGTGCTGTTGAACACGGCCTCCTTTTTCTCCAGTTCATCAAGAATTTTTTTTGTTCCTGGATTCTCTGTTCTTCGTAAAGGTATGCAACAAAAACATAGTCTTCTTCACCAGCTCAGCGTACCACAGGGTGAGTTACTGACATACAAATGATCATTTTGTGGGTGAACTATTCCTTTAAAACTAATCTAGTAACACCTTGTTGTAACTAATCACCCGCCGTCCGCTGCATTTGTGTCATGACCAAACGGGTTTCTACGACATCGCAAACAGTATGGCTCCGTGACATCACTTCGGCGTCCTGCTACAAAGCCTGTGTGATCGTCACAGTTGGTCACAGCACGACTGTGACGTCACAAATGACAGGCGTGGCGTGACATCAGCGTTGCGAGTGCTAGACACTCACTTAGAAGCGCTGTGTGTAACTCTGGAGAAAGATGGCTGATTGTTGAGTCTCATTCCCAGGTTGTCCGATACTGACGCTTTGGGTTGCTGCTTGGGTCCAACTACCAACCCAAAGCGACAGTATCTGATGACCTAGAAATGAGACTCGACAGTGAGCCATCTTTCTCCAGAGTTACACACAGCACCTTAGGGACTACACTGAATGTGCAACATGTAAGGGACACGTGCTGTTTGCACAACTCTAACTTGTGTGCTTCTTGTTATCTTTGTGATTTCATAATTGATAATGGCTGTTAACCTGGATTCACCTCATCAGTGTGCTTCCTTGGAGCGTCCCTAATAATGTGCACATTCAGTGAACAACAGACAGGACTGGAGAACACATCTGCAAAGCCCAGAACAAGGGGGAGGTGTCACTGTTGCTGGAGTGTAGCATTATCTCATTACATAAAAAACGGTTTGTCTGTGTGTGCCTGGGTCAGTTTAGTAGAAACACGAGTCACTCATTGAGAATCGAGTCTGGTCTGTCGTAGCCAAAGAGCCTGAAGTCAGGTTCGTACAGCTTGTAGAGTTCTCTCCGCGCCTCCACAGGCACTGTGCTGAACCAATCAGCCTCCCAGCTGCTGGCTGTGAGGTTCCTATGGGAGGTGGGGAACTCCACCACGTTGTCCACCCGCAGCTGGCGCAGTAGGTGCTCGGCATCCTCCTCCGCCGTCTCCAGGTGGCCCACAAAGTCATACTGAATCTGACATGGATGGCAAAGCCGATATACCTGCCGCCAGTGCTCGTTAAAGGGCATCTCCTTCTCTGTCTGAGGGTCCAGGAGGTACTGGATGAAGTGGGAGAAGGAGGGGTGGATGCCCACGCCAAACGCCTCGTCCACAGAGGCAGGGGGCGTCGGCTGGTTGGCGTAGCGGCGCAGCATGACCTGTGCAAAGCGCCGGTAGAAGTCTTCGTTGCGCAGCTCGAACTTGTTGCGGTAGGCCGAGATGAGGCGCACAAAGGGGTCCCGCACGAAAATAAACTTGGTGTACTTCTTCAGCTTCACCTTTGAAAAATGAAAGAGGATTTTATTAGCATGTAACATCTCATCACCACTCATACAACGGACAATTAACAGAGATGGTGGAGGCGTGAAAATATGAGACAGAACTACTAATACTACGCTTAAAGATAGGGGTGTGCCCTATCATCTCATTCACAGTAATACCAGTAGAATTTTTAATATGACATGAGAAACAAATTGACATCATGCTGTTACCCACGGCAACAACAAACATGGCTGAAAGCAAAATCATTAGCGACTCCGCGGTGGTTCCAAAAAGAGGAGCAGCTGCAGTAGTATGGAATAAACTGTAGCGTCCTGAATGTTTCATGAACAGCCCCGGACTTTCTCAGACTCTTTTAGTGACTTACAGCTCAGAGGGAACTCATTCAGCAGCTCCTCTGGCAGCAGCACAGCGTCTCTCCCTCTCCTCTCTCACCGTGTACACACAGGAGTCAGTGTCGTCAAGTGATTTTGTCATAAACCTTTGGTAATGTAAACCTACGGGACGCTCGCGGCTCAACAAAAACTACATCTATGTGAATGTGTGATAGTTGTGGTATCATAACAGCCTGTCACAGGTTACAGAGTGATGATTAGACGAGATTGTTTTATGATAAAACTTGTGATTCACACTCACATTTAAACCATGAAGTAGACGTCAGAGGACTCTGAAGCTTTGACAATGAATGGTTTCCCGTGTGGTGAGTGACCTTTTGTGAATATTGACTTTATTTAAAAATAAATCTGTGGCCAGAAGCACACAGTGACCCAGGTTGGATTTCATTTGTCTCAGTGACCTCTGCATCATTACGTGACCTCTGGAGTTCCACCAAAACACGTCTCTAAAAATAAAACTCACGTCCTTGTGTGGGAGGTAAAGAACTGCCAAGAGTGAAGAAAAGCTAGCAGATGGAATAATATGATAAAAATCTAGGGCGAGCCTTGAGCTCGAGCTTGAGTTTTGTGTTTGCATTTATTGTTGAGTTTGTGTTTTGTACTGTTTCTTTGACATTTGTTGTGGTTTCAGGCATTGCAAATTATATTAGAGCAGGGGTTTTCAAACATCTTGTGTCCAAGGCACACCAAAGGGCAAGACAAAATCTCACGGCACACCAGTGTTCTGCAGCACACACCACTGGCTTGTGTGGCTGTGGATTATGCTACATACTTGTCTCTCTACAAATAAACATTAAAAATAAAAATATATAGTTTAGTATCTGAACTGACCTTCATGAGGTGCCTCGCAAACTTGCCGTAACGTTTCCAGAACTTGTTAAAGGTAAAGTGCATGCTGCTGTTGTGGACCAGGTCTCTGGGGATGGCCATCGGGTCTCTCTGGGGAACACCGTCCCTCAGCAGGCTTTCGCTGAGAACTATCATGATGCGCTTCCAGTTACTGCACGCAACCTGAGAGCGGGAAGGCAGGGAGCACATGTCAGAAGTCTAAAATAAATATTCAGTTATTACAGTGAAATGGGTGGACGCTGGAGGACGTAGGTGGCATTGTATTGGCATAAAGACGATTAGACATACTGATCTGTTTCTTATCTGGTCATGTGAAAAATACATTTTAACCATTTTAAAAGAGCACAAACATCAACATTAACATAACTAAAAGGAGATAAAATGTTGTAGGAGTTTGCATACCTTGGGAACATAGCAGTAGATGATACCGTGCCTGTCGTCCACAATAAGGTGATCCAGCTCCCTGTTGGGAATGTCGTCAAACGAACGGTTTTTGCCAGGAAACACCACGCTGTCGTTAGCACACATCTCCTGAAGCAACTTCCGCCGCTGCTCCTGGATGTACCATTTGGCGAAGCACAGACAAATGTATTATTTATTAAAATACATGTAACCAGTATAAATGGATTAATAGTGTCTGGTCAGATTCATCTCATCTATTCTTTAATCAGTAACTCCTGACTTTAGTCCTGCACACCCTCACAGGTGTTCACACTTATTCTGGCTGATTAGACCCCTGCACGTTTTAAAACTTGGTGAAGATGTGCTGCTACATGAGGTCACAAACCTACATGATCCAATAAGAATGATAAAGCTGTAAACTGTCCCACCCAAACAGGTGCAACAGAAGTGCCAATCAAACAGTGTCCAGCCTGTCCAGTACACTAATTAGGCAACATAAGGGAAAACACCTGTGTTGTTAAGCCGTAGGTCTTTAAATAGAGAAATGGCAACTTTAGACTGTATTTTATTTTAGCATGTTACTTGCCAAGCGTTGGAGATATCAGCTGTAGAGATGTCTGCCTTCTCTCCAATATAATGGAACTAGATGTCACTCAGCCTGTGGTGCTCAAAGTGTCAAAAATATACATCTTAAAAACTCAACAGCAATGTCTCTTTCCAGAAATCATGACCCAGTTACTCAAGATAATCCACAGACCTTACTATGAAGGAACTATTTCTTTCTACCAAACTACAACTGTATCACTGCACAGAAGAAGTGTGTACCTATCAACCTATCTATAATAAACTAGGGGTGGGAATCACCAAAGGCTCCACGATACGATATTATCACAATACTTTGGTCATGATACAATATTAGTGCTATTTTAAACATGTTGCAATATGCTGAGTATTGCGATAAAATATTTTGCGATACGTTGTGATATATTACCTTTTTTCAACGGCAAATAAAGTCCCCCAAAGGAAAATTTTGTCAGCATATAATAAGATGAAGTTTTCAGTCTGTTCATCTCACTTCAATCATTTTTTTGCAGCACAATGTATGAAGTGGACGTAAAAAGTAATTGATTTTATTATTCAAGTAGGCTATCTTAAGTTAATTTTGTATTTGTAATATCAATAATTTATTTAATTTCACCATATGACGATACGATTTTGCCACACAAAAATCTTGCGATACTATGCTGTATCCATTTTTTCCTCCCACCCCTATAATAAACCCATTTAATTTACGGTACACAACACTGATGATAGGCTGCCACCAATGAATCCTTGTACAATCATGTGAGCTAGCTTACACTTAGGGCCTGTTTATACGGTTCCGTATATTTCACGTAACCGGCGTTTTTCTCGACGAAAACAGAGATTTTCAAAAACGGCTTCCAAAGTGAAAGTTTTTAAAAAAAATATCCGTTTCTATGGAGATGTGCAAACAGGATAGGCGGAGATGTTGGAAAACGATGACGTTGCAACCCAGTTCGCACATGCCCATTAGGCGCCCGGGAACCACAACAACAATGGCGGATATATGCCGGGTTGTTTACGTTTTGTTCGCACTCTTGGGACTACTTACGAGCTTACAAATGAACTTAGCACTGCTGCATCAACATCACCGCTACATCTGCGAACAAAGAAGTCTGCTGTACCCAATATTAGTAAGTGCATAGCAGCTAACTGTGCTACATAAGGTTAAAATGCAGTTTATCATTGTTTTTATCACTAGCACCAAGAGGAAAACAAATCACTGTGCATGTACAGAATGTTACTCTATGGTGTTTGACATATGGTGTATCGCCACCTACTGGCCTGGCATGCTAAATGCAGCAAAAAGCTGCCCTTTCTGCGTTTTCGTGGAAACAGGGATATTGTTTTTACAACTGATCGTGTAGACCAGGAATTTTTTTTTTATACGGGATAAATAAAAATCCGTTTTAATTTGTATCGGTATCCGTGTAAACAAGGCCTAAATCACTGTGCAGCGCTTATCTCTAACAATGAAGTGAACTGGAAAACTAACATTTTTAACAATTTGTGCAAGAGACTCTGACATACGTCCACCATGGAAACCACTGGCAAAAGTGCAAAGGTTGAGGCTAATGCTACAACTGCTGCTGACTTAGCAGCCACAGGCCAAGTGCAAAGAAGAGAAGACCCAAGTGCAACTCAGTTGCTATAAGCTAAGGGGTCCTTGGCCCGAAAAATGTTGACGACCCCTGTTTGAGACTGATAAATAGCACTACAGGTAAGAGGAAAATATGTAGTTTTGATTTTGGGGTGAACTGTCCCTTTAACATTTTAACATTTAATACTTTTAGTGCAATTAAAGATAATAATAAATAATATTCCGAGGAAAAAGAAGAAGAAGAAGGAGATGATATTAACCTGTCTCTCACGGAGCTCAGCTGCCACTGGAGTGAGGTGAATTTTCCACTCACGCCTCGGTATATACCGCTCCTCTGCTTTCTCCGATTGGTTACTTGTATCAGGTGGCGCAGGGTCTGTGGGCTCCCCAGTTCCCGGCTCTAAGAACTGGTTTACAAAGGCGTCGATGTCGGACAGGAAGGACGGTGTCCGGGAGGTCTGAGGCCCCTGGTGAGGAGGGGGATGCGGGATCTTGGGGCCCGGCGACACAGGAGTGTGCAAGTACAGGTGCGAGGCTCCGACATCGTCCCAGTAAATGATGATCAGGAGGATCATGAAGGCCGAGCCCAGGACGACAAAGATGCGGAACATCCTGGACGTTCCCATGGCGACTGCTGCTCGCTACAGGATCACCATAGCAACTGACTATGACTTGATAAGGCGTCTACAGCGTCACCATGGCAGCAGATTGAAATTGTTTTTATATGTGATCGCCGGGGCAACAGATTGGAGTTATAGGGTTCTTGCTACAGGGTCACCATGGCAACAGAGTCAAGGTCCAGGAGCTCTCTCTCTCACCATGGCGATAGACAGACAGCAGCTAGAGCAGAGTCTGTGGCGGGCTTATCATGATGCTGCTGCACTGCAGGAGTGTGCTGAACAGGAGTGTGACTGGTCATCCATGGATAAAGTCTCACCTCTGCTCCACACCTGCAGCACCCTGCACGCACACACACACACACACACACACACACACACACACACACACACACACACACACACACACACACACACACACACACACAGAGGGAGAAAACCACCGTTACATAGTCCATCTTTCTCAGGGTTTAATAAAAACCTTAGTCTCTAAAATCAAATTATGTGCTTGTCTAATCACTGAGCAGCAAAATGTCACCAAAAATGATTGTAACACAGACATTATCACATCTAAATTGGATTTTTTTTATGAGAACATTTGAACAAGAAGAATCACAGACACACAGATAAGCTCACAAAAACGCAGGGATTTCAGCAGCGAGCGAGAACAAAGACAATTTAATGACAAACCAAGTTACATGTAAAGTATAAAAATAGACCAAGTCTGTGGACCAGCACTTTGAAGATCGTCTAAGTGTTCACATGTGTTGCTGAATTTCTTGTGTTTCTAAATTCAAGCATCTAGGTAGAGTCTCACACTTACAAAAGCCAGTGTTGTAGCATTAAAGATCGGCCTTGGTCTCAAAACCACTTTTTGAAGGTCTCTGTCTCAGACTTGACCACATTTTCACTCGGTATTGTCTCAGTCTCAGACAAAAAGGATTTTATTTCAAGACGAGTCAGGACCACAACTGCGGCAGTATCACTATATTACACTTGCAAAAAAGGAGTGTTAAATAAAGATGATTAAAGGTCCAGTGTGTAGGTTTTAGGGGAATATATTGGCAGAAATGGAATATAATTTAATAAGCATGTTTTCTCTAGTATATAATCACATAAAAATAAGCATCATTGTGTTTTCATTACCTTAGAATGAGCCGTTTATATCATACGGAGTGGGTCCTCATCTGAGATCGCTATGTCGCACCACTATATTTCTACAGCATCCCAGAGGGGACAAACTGGCTCGAAATAGAGCCATTTACATTTTGGTGTTTTCACGTGAGTCACTGTAGTTAACAGCCCCTCCACTACAAGAGCATAGTGAAACTGTTTTAATCAGTGTTTCACCAGTTTACAGTGTTCCCACACATTGTCACGGACAAAATTTCAAAACTTTTCCATGACGTTTCAAGGACCCGTAACAAAAAAAAAAAAAATTCTCACCCCACTTGCCTGGCATTTTTCAAACAGATCACATTCAAACTCATTTCAAACATAATTTCAGCTATTGGGCAAACATGTTTTATATCTGTAAGTCATGGATAAATGGTCATGGATAAATGGTAATGTATA